CAACCCAATATTTAAGCGTGGGAAACGTTCACTTTGTATACATGAAGAATTGTCAAACTTCACTCGATTGGGGAATAAAATTTGTATTCGTTATTCGCGAATAACGAATAAATACATTTACACGAAAAGTGTTCATTCGAATGAGAATAACATTTTTATTTGCTATTGGCCAATGACTATATAGAGTGTTCACGCTAAATCTAGTCAGCGTTTTTCTTGTAAATGTTAAACATTAGAAAAAAGTGATACAGGAAAAAGTTATAGATTTTTTTACCTACATTACTTTTCAAGAAATGATGATCTTCAATTTTTAAATGGAATGCTACGGTTTTTTATATCGCATGAAAACGTGTGCCAAAAAGGGATTCATTTGTATACGACATAACGACCTTTAAGGTCACACAAAGTTTACTGATGGCATTCATGCACAAAATAATCATATTAAACATTTACTGTAACCTCAAATCGAATACATGTTCAATATGATTTTTTGTGCACGAATGCCATTATTAAACCTTGTGCGACCTTAAAGGCCATCACATAGTACACGAATGATTTCATTTCGGCACATGCTTTTATACAAGATAAAATATATCTAGCATTCCATTTAAAAAATTGAAGGACACTTTGATTTCTAAACAAAAAAATGCAGATAAAAATAATTACAGACTCTGTTACATTGCTTGCAAAAAACAGTATAACTTTGTCCTCTTCCATTTTTTTCCAGTATTTACCATTTGCAAGAAAACGTTGGCTAGTGCAGCGTGAATACTCGATACAACTCTTGATTATATCGGGTGTCCCAAAATTACTGTGTAAGCAGGAAATGAGGGGTTCCTGAGATTATTTGAAGTAACTTTTTCCTTAGCGAAAATGCAATTAACAGCTTCGTTTACGAGTTATTAACGAAAAACAATGACCAATGAGAGGCGAGATGAGCTGGTACGAGGCGGCCGAGCCAATAAACGGAACTGGGCTTCATCCGCTCGTTGGTTAGTTACTTTAAATGACCTCAGGAACTCCTCATTTCTCGCTTATACAATAATTTTGGGACATCCTGTATGTATACTGCATACTGTAAGCGCAATTCAATGAAGCAGTAACAACAATTCTTTCTCCCGGAAAATAAAATAGATGTGTTTATAGTGCAACAGAAAATGTTTCTCAAAATATCGTCCTTTTTAAAATATTTCAGGCCGTGCAGTTGGGTCTGTGTGTCCAACTTCGGCAAGTCCACCAATTTAATAATTTTATATTGCAGGTAGAAGATAACACAATTTTAGATTCTCAAGGTATTGAAAATGTTATAAGTTTAGAAATTACACTTGATGATAAGAAAAGATAAAGCGACGAAGAGAGAAAGGAAACATATAAAAAAGGTGAAAAGGAAAAGGAATGGTTGTCACTCTCGCGCCGCGAAGAGAAGAGCATATGCTAAATTAAACCGAGCTATTCAGAGGGATGATTGTACAACATATGACGAACATGTAGGCAGTACGCTATGATAACTAACCCCAAAAGTCAAAACAGTTACTGAACATTTGATAAACAGCATGTTATTCGGTGCAACTGTAGAAAAATATAATATTGGGTTGGCAACTAAGTAATTGCCGATTTGTTCAATGAAATAAAAAATTTTTTTTACTTGGGATGATGTTTAATCTGTAATGTATTTTCCATTTTGTTCGATGACCTTTTGCCATCTCTTCGACAACTTGAAAATTCCACGCTCGTAGAAAGTCTGATCCTTTTCGGCCAAAAACTGAGTTAAGTGAGATTTTACAGCGTCATCGTCATTAAAAGTTTTACCACGAAGGGAGTTGTCCAGGGATCGAAATAAGTGGTAATCCGATGGCGCGAGATCAGGGCTATATGGTGGGGGTAACATCAATTTCCAACCAATATCCATCAATTTTTGCCGAGTGTACAAATACGTGTGCGGCCTAGCATTTTCCTGGTGGAAAATGACACCTTTACGATTGACCAATTCTGGTCGCTAAATTTGCTAAATTTGTCCAGTAGCTAACATTCACGGATAATAAAAAATAACATAATAATAATAATAATAATTTTATAATATAACATTTACGGATATCATAAAAATGGGAGTGAGAGACATCTATAACTGGAATCAGTAATTACTTAGTTGCCAACCCAATAGTTATACACAGCAAGAAGCAGTTTTAGTTATTGATATTTTAAATATTGATAATATCCATAATGAACAAAATCATTAATTAATAATAATACTAAACAAAATAGTAAAAGATAGTAAAATCTCACGCACAGAGTTTTTATTAGTTAATTAAGTATTATTAATTAAGAGTGTTCACCTTTAATAGATAATTGTCTTCTTCCGCAATCTTAATTTTTTCTTCGTTTTCATCGATTACTTGAGGCTGTTACGAAATATTACAACTCCTGCTATGATTTCCAAAGATATGATGCACGTATTGCTTCGGACAAATTAGTTTCGTCTCAGTCGCATACAAACATTGATGACAGTACACGCGATATTGTGTGCCAATTTTGTTGTGCGACACCAAGATTACAGCACGATAAGATGGCACTGAATAACAAGTTTCATGTCACAGGTTGCATAGTGTTGTCTCATTGAAGTCACGCTTTAATAGAAAAATATATGCCAAGATTGCAAATGTCAACAACAGTAGATAAGAAAGTTTATTCTAGATAGAATGAAGAAAAACAATTTTCATGCTTTACGAGTAAAACGTAAAATATTGCATTTGGATAAATTGATGCTTAATTTATTACGAGTATATCGCGTAGAGAGTCTATCTATATTAAGTTGCAAATGTGCGGCATCAGCAACATTTCGCAGGAGTGGACCAAGATTTATACTTTTTTTATTTTTATTTTTACTTTAGATTTATACTAATATAAATACTAATATAAAATACTAATAATACTAATAATACTAATAATACTACTAATAATACTACTAATAATACTAATATAAAATACTATTTTTAGATTTATACATTTTTCGCACGAAGATCAGCGTTCGATACGAGAAAAAGTATCACGGGACTGCATTGGCGTCTGAGCGCTTCCATTGAATTAAGTGTGTGCGGTAGGTGTTTATCATACGCGCATCGCGATACAAGCAGCCTCATATGAGACGGGCCTTAGGGCACGCCATACTGCGTTTCCCGAGAATTGACAGGAAATGTAAACCAAGTGTTCACGTCATCGATGCTATGGTTGGTTCTCGACCGTCGAAACTCAGGCACGCTTCCTTGCGGTTCAAGAAAAGTGCCACCGCATGATGCTCCATATCGTTCACCCAAAATCGAAAAAATTCCAAATTCAAATTGAAAAGAAGTTGAAATCCACAGCAATGATTGGAATCTAAATAAATTACGTTTACGTAAGACATGCTAAAGCCTGAACTTTTGCAAATTATAAAATGGCAGAACATAAGAGATGCCTATGCAAAAGATAATGTAGCAAAGTAAAAAAATATGAGAATGCTTCCACTGCATACTTACCACTGCGAATTAAATTTAATCAAGATGATTTGGGCGCAAGTGAAAAATTTGGTACCAGCACATAATACAACATTAAAATTTTCGGATGTAAAAAGATTACTTCTCGATTCTCTCGAAAATGTTACGCTTGAAAATTAGATGAGATGTGTGTGGGACATGTAATTAAAATTATTGAAAACAAATTTTGGCAACTGGACCGCAATATTAACTCATTAACGGAATCATTTATACTTAATTTCAATTTTGACAATTTAAGCACCGAATAGTTTTCTATATCGTAATTTTCATTTTGATTTATTTCCTTATTTATGTTATTGTATTATGGCATTAATAACATTTAATTAACAATATCACATTAATATTGAGTATAAGTAATTTTTGGCCTATAGAAAATTAAGGGCCTTATTAAGCCCTACTAGGGCTTACGGCTTTAGTCTGCTAGCGGACAGCTGTAAAAACAGCTGTAAAATGTAAATTTTCTGTCATTTCTCAAACGCACTATAAATACCATACCAAGTAATTGTCCAATTGCATTCGGGATTTCGTGGAGTAATAAATTAATCACTTCTTATGCATTTAATTAGTGCATAGGTCATGAAATAATAAATCACGTCCATGAACAAAGTGACAATTACTACTCAGTCTAAAAGGAAACGTCATTACTTATTGGTATTTCTAATATGTAAATTAATAAAATGATGCTGATTAATACCTGTACTTGGAGCGTATCCGTTATACAATTCAGAAGCAAGGCTCTCTTGAACAACTTCAATCGCTTATTTTGGTGGTTTCAAGTTGCCAAATATTGTTGGATCGCCTGAAATATAAGAATTTGTAATCAAAACTTATTCGTGAATGTAGGAAAACAAAGCTAATTTAATAATTAAAATAAACTAACAAGCAGAGTACAAGGTATTGAGGTCGCCGATTTTGTTGAGACTTCGTATGAATAACTTGCTTATTTTTATTAATAGAAAAATAGTGTCGGGCAATAGTTGTTCGATTTCAAGGGTATATAATGTCGTATCAATAGTTTTTTCTTTATAAGTGGAGGCGTAGAGGAGATATGGAGGTTAAACTTGGTTTTTATTTGTGGGATAATATTGTTTTCTATGTATATTTTGATAGAGCCTTTCGAGACGAATATAATGATCTGTAAATGAAGATCGTTCAAGATTACAAAAAATCAACTATAATAGAAAATAAATCGTTTCAAGTCACTTCTATGCTGAAGTCACATATCTTTTCTACATGTTGGTGTCTTACGGATATCGCTTTTGTAATTGTTCAAGCGCATCACTGAATGCAAATAAGCATTGAATCACAGGCATTCTCGGAAAACGAACTATATATACCGTAAAAATATTGTCTAATTGCATCCGGGATTATACAAAGTAATAAATTAATCACTTCTTATGCATTATCAGTTTGACGATAGAAGTATAAGAGTATCTCTTCCAAGCGACTAACATCACCAGTTCAGTGCAACGTCTCGTATCGTGATCGATGCACTTTCGCTGAATCGAATTTATTAGAACAATAATCAAACAGATCAGAATAATAAGAGGATAGAAGGATCGTGGCTCGTTGCATAACGCTGACGAAATGCAGAAGCTTGCGCCGTCGTTCTTGGCGTTTGCCATCGTCGCACTTTTCGTTGCGGAATTCCCATACGGTGAGGCTACCGATGAGGTTCTCGCGGATGTTTCAGGATTGAGCAACAGCAAGAACAACAAAACCGAAGGTGAATATTATACTTGCTTCGGGGATTGGTATGGTAATGATTCAGTTGTCATGATCCCAACTATTGTTCAACGTTGTAATAAGAATTCTTATTAGCCGAGGTATCAAAAAATTTGTTTCTCAAAACGAGCGATGATGTTGTAGGAAACGGCGTAGCACCTCTCAAACTTTATAAGCGCCTGAGGACGTGGAACAATGCACGAAAGACATGCCAAAATGATGGAGGTATGGCAGGGTCGCGGCATGTTTGCAAGTAAGGGTAGAAAATAAAGGACATTCATCTTGTAGGTCAGTTGGTCGTGATAGATTCCGCGCAAAAAGCAGCCATCGTGAGAAGCTTGCTGGCTTCGGAGTCGTTGGAAGCTATCTGGGTAGGCTTCCACGACCTGTTTAGGGAAGGATCGTGGACGACTGTAACCGGCGAATCGATCAGTGCATTGAACTATTATCCATGGGCTCATGGCCAACCCGACGATCAGTTCGGCAGACAGAACTGTGCAGTTATATGGCGGTTGGGGCTACTAGATGGGATGGACGACTATAGGTGCGATAGAAAATTTGCATTCGTCTGTGAAAACAAGTCGTGTTAAACTTCAAGTCTCCTTGCTGTCCAGATACGTTGCTCTTAAGACACGATTATCATACTTTGACCGATATTTTATGTAATAAAATTATTAAGATTCGTTAAGATTTATTTTGAATAAAGAAATTTTGATTTCGTGATAACTGTAGTTCTGGTAAAGCTCATTATATCCGTTCGAGAAAGTAGCGGCGACCTGCGGCGCTTGTTAGTAATGATGGAAAAAAGGGATCAGACTTTGGGTGGCACATACTGCGAACTCAATAGTATTTTTGTAGGTGGAAACTTGTGTAGAGGAGATGTACAGATAAAACTGGTTTTTTGAATAGGATGAATTAGTTGATTATTTATAAAACGAATGTTCGATAAACGAATGTTCTAATAACAACGTTTATTCAAGGTAACGCATGGTCAACTGTAATAGAAAATAAATTGTTTGGAGTTACATATCTTTGCAGCTTGTTGGTATCTTGTTGATATCACACTTGTAATCGTTGCACATTGAATCACGTACAGGGTGTCCCAAAAATGTCTCGTAATCCGGAAATGGATGATTCCTGAGGTCATTTGAAGTAACTTTTTTCTTAGCGAAAATGCAATCCGCGGTTTGGTTAAAGAATTATTAACGAAAAACACTGACCAATCAGAGGCGAGCTTGACTGGCGCGAGGCGGGTCGGTCCACGAACGTATGAAGCTCAGTACCGCTCATTGGCTCGGGTGCCTCGCGACAGCTCATCTCGCCTCTCATTGGTCAGTGTTTTTCGTTAATAATTCTTAAACAAAACCGTGGATTGCATTTTCGCTAAGAAAAAAGTTACTTCAAATGATCTCAGGAACCACCCATTTTCGGATTGCGAGACATTTTTTGCATACCCTGTATAGTATTACCTGTGCATACTTTTGGTTTGAATTTATAGATTGATCAAAGTACATGACTGAAAATATTAGTTAGAGAAAACTCGATAAAATCGATAAGATTTTCGTTGAGACGCAAAACACACCTCACCAAAGGAGACCTTATCAAGGAGAGATCCTGAGGGTTGACGCTCACTTTTTGATGAGATTTGGTACAATGATAGAGCTTATAAAACTGAATCCAATGATACCCGGTTTTTGGGGTAGACGGCTAATAGTTCTTGAGATAATTAATGTCAAAATTATAATAAAAGACCAGAAAGATGCACTGCGTCAACCCCGGGGACCTATCCTTGTAAAACACCTGAACTCGCCGCAGAGCTAGTCCACCAAAAAGTCACAAAAAACCGATCGAATTATAAATTTCATTTAATCTACGTACAACCGACTCCCGAGTATAATCCATAAGCCATACTTCATCAATTCTGTACGAGGAACATGAAAACGCTGCAAATTGCGTCTATTTCAATTTGTGCAATAATTTGAACTGTGACCCTTAGTCATTAACACTAAACCTACCAAGCAGTAATACTAACTGGCGTGTAATGCTTCACAAAAGTGAAAAAAAGTTAAAAAATAAAGGTTTTTTATTTTCTTTTGTCATTCCAAGTAATAACAAAATTGTAACAAAGTAGTTTAGTCGTTGTCTAGTATACCAGTCTCTTCATCATCTAAAAAAATTCAAATAGTTTAGTCCAGTTTTAAAAAAAGTTATTGCGTTTTAAGAAATGTCCGAATATTAATGAGAGTCACTGTAACTAGCGGATAAAGATACTGCTGATTCGCTCACGAATTCACGTACGAAAGTAAACACCAAAAGCCATGAATTGCTAATAAGACCACTGATTATTGAATCCAAATGGGTCACGTTATCCAATGTATGTCCCATTATCCTGCGTGAAGTGATAATCAGCAAACTCAAGAGCCTTTCAATCAACTGTACCTTGGCTATTATTTTTGTTAAAGTTTCTGAGCCTGGTTTTTCTTACGTCATGAGTTTCAGGAGACAGGTGTACATTGTACCCGAAGATGTCACAAAATTACCGGAGTGCCTATAAATTAACTGTGAACGAACAAATTACTGGATTTATATTACAACTGATAACTCTGCCATTTGTAAAAAAAGAGGGTCATATAGCCAAAGGATCACAGCCTACTTCATCAAGAAATTTAAACATCAGCGAAGATTTCCATCTACATTCCAACACCATTAACGATAACAAGAAAAAATTCGAAACCTATGTTCAGCCCTTTAAGGACAACACGAACGTTACTTTGCAACAATACAAGTTCTTTGTCTCCCTCTACTAATGCTATTGACACAACCAAGCATCAAATTGCAACTTTTGAAATAATTGTTCCGGCTTGCCATCCTACATTAAGAGAAAAGATAGTTAAGATTCAATCTAAATCACTTAAGAAGACGAGAAGAAGAGTTTCCAAAACATCGAAAGAAATTAATAGTTTAGAGACCAAGCTCCTGTGAAAAATATTCTCGGTGCTCACCCGGAATCATTTATTTTAACTTACGATAAACTCAGACTTTTTATATAAAGCTGCGAGGTACTCGAATATTCCTCAATTAGCTCGACAGTACACTTTCGAGATATCTGAACTAGTGAATATGTTGAAAGAAACTTACGTTTCTCTAACTGATAGAAACGTTGAAAACCAATTTTCCAGAATCATAAAAAAGTTACACATAAGTATGGACTGGAGAGAAGACTATTCCAGTGAGCTGGACTCTGAACGTACACTGATCGCATAGGAGGAACAGGACTCTGAACAGGTGATCGTGCTGCTCCTTCCCTTTCTTGAAGCCATGAACACCACTACCGATGTCCACAAGAAGATGTAAGTGCTCTATTATTTATTGGAATACCCGAGGTTTCTACAAACATCGACACGAACTTCCAAATATTCTTAGAAATGTGAACATCTTTATTGTAGTTGAAACTTGGCTAAAGAGTTGTGTCTCTCTAACCTTTTCCGGCTTCTATAGGATGAGATTGGATAGAGATGATAGGCCAGGAGGTGGTATTGTTTTTTTCATTTAAATATCTATCATTTTTGATAATATAGTGAATTAAAAATAACTTTGAGATAGCAGGTATCCGTATAAATAGTTTCCCCCCCCCCCCTTCAATCATCTGATAGCTTTCTACAGAGTCCCCAATTCTTGTATATCGGAATTGAATTGGGATAATTTATTTTCTGCCGTATCTTCTTTTGAATCATGCTTTGTGTTCGGAGACTTCAATATCTAATACGTATGGAATATAAAATAATATATATAATATAAAAATAATAATATAAATATAATAATTGTATAATTTATATAATAATATAAAAATAATATATATATAAAAATAAAACTTTGAAAAATAAGTGGACAAACACCTCCTCAGATCACATCTCTAGCGCAGTCATGAAGGCTAACATTGAAAACAACCATTTCTAAAATTACCTCCCTTCTCTCCTCATTGAGCTACAACATGTCCTGATCTGAAAACAATCAAACATTAATACAAAATCCTGTGTTTGATTCCTAGATTAGTCTTTAGGAATTTAATTATGCCCTTAAAAGTTGTAAAATCAACTCAGCTCCTGGTCAGGACTGTATTGAAGTTGATTTCCGCCTTCACTTACCAATTAAGTCAAATTAATTCTCTTTAATGAATTATATTCGAATAATGTTTACCCACTTACTGGAAAGATCACTTATCCTTCTTTATAAAGTAAAGCGACGGGATAAGGAATGAGACCCGTTTCCCTTGTCTAACATATGTGCAAGCTCTCTGAAAGACTCTTAAAGACAAGACTTCAATGGTGGATTGAAACTAGAGACATCTTACCTCCATCTTAGACTGGGTTCAGAGTCGGTGGATTATGCTCTAACAACCTTTCAGCTCTACTTCTATCAATTCAGAAAGCCTTTACGGTATAACGGGATGTTCTAGTATGTTTTCTGGATGTCAGTGGAGTATTTAATAATAGTGAATTGTATTTAGTTATGGAAATAACTTTAATACTTTTCGCTATTTCAACTTTCAATTAGAACTCTTATTTAATTAAAAAAGATATAAAATATCTTTTCTTTTCATGAGATGTCTGCGTTAACTGACACGATTCAACTCGGTAAAAACAATAATCATTAGAAAAGACAAAATACAAAATCACATGCCTTCACGATTAAATCATATCAAGTGGTAAATAAAAAACTATTTGCTAGATTGATTTTTGTATTCAACCCATTTGTTGAAATTCAACAGATAATGTCAATAATGATTTTCTCATAACCAAACTCAAAAACATCGGTTGTTCCAACAGATTCACTTCATTTGTCAAATTGTCCTGTGAACGAAAAAGTCAAAGTGTTAAAATAACCGGTCAAAAAATTCTATATAGAAAGGTTGCTGAAGGCGTAATTCACTGAGCGATGCAAATTAAAAACTGACTGCAGTTAATGAAAGGCAGTTAAAAGTTACCAAGAATTATTAGGACGATTGATGTACCTAAGTATTTCAACGAGGCCAGACATATTCCTTAATTAAGTTATTTATTTATTTAGTATTTATTATTTATTACGCTGCTAGAACTCCGCATGGGCTCCGCGTTTTCATTTTTATTAACTTCATCATCATCACAGTTTTTTAGAATAATTAGATTCTTATATCACTGATTGTGGATGTATACGAAAAGGTAAAATTCTTTTTCAAAAAACAGATTGATATAGTTTTATACAGTCTTTCATTGTGCCATCACTAGATTGCTGATTTTATGCATTTACGACAAAACTGAGTATTTGTAATGTCAAACAGTAGAAAAAAAATTGAATAATGTCAATATATTACTTTCGACCTTCTAAAATTATTAAGGAAAGAATGCAACATTTAACGTGCTCCTATTTTTTGTAATAGATGCATCATCAGTCTAGTAGTCATGAAGTTCATCACCCTACATACCAGGTACTCGATTTTAATTTCGAAAAAAATCTCTTCTAAATTAGAATTACTCGTACATTGCATATCATACGGATTCTCCAAAAAGTCCCGGAATAGTCGATTATTTAAAAAACAAAGCATTTTAGAAACATACAGTAAATTCTTCCTAATTGATGCTCAGATTGAGCACAAAAATGGACAATTCGGGAAAAGGAGATATAATTTTTCGAGCTTTGCGGCTCGTTTTTATAGTTACTGATTGTCAAGGCTCGAATAATCGTATCTT